TTTTCTTTGCTAATTTTCGTACCCAGTATTATTATAATTGAAATAATTAATAGAAATTGCAATGATAAAAATGAAAAAAATCAAAAGTTAATGAAGAACCGAGTTAATGAAAGTATTTTATCCATTATAACAATAACTACTTCATCTCAAGCTCCACATCAACAACTTTTCCTTCAATTTCAATTTGCCCAATCTTCTTTCCATTGGTTAATTCCTCTTTGTGTTTCTTAAAGAAACGAAAGAATAACCACATTGATGAAATAATACATGTCATCAGAATTTCTTCTGATCCAAGATATTGAGATAACCAGTTACATCTGTTTTTATCATAAACAAAAAATACTACAATACCTATTAACCCAATCCCAGATGAAATAATGAATAAAATAATAAGGATAAATCGATTAGTTAAACAAATAATTTGATATAAATATAATAATAAAGAAATAAAAATTGGAAGAAACACTGAACATAACCATATCACTTCAAACATAATACTTGATATTTGATATCCAATAAAAATAAAAATTATACAAATTAAGCTAATACTTCCACAAACAATTGGACGAATAAAATGTATTAAATTAGAGAAACGTTTATGAGTAAACTCAATTAATGACGCATTTAAAAGAGAAAATGAAAAAAGTATCAATACAAACACTTCTACTAGAATGACAATTATTAATTTAATATTATATATTATAAAAATACAATGATCTATCATGTACATAAAATACCAAACACCTAATAAAAAATACATCACCATATAATCTACTTTTCCATTCACTAAATGAGACATTTTTGAATGAACCATCCAACATAAGTTAAATGACATTATAATTGATAGACAACATATTAAAATTAAAATGGGATGTTCTATAGTAAAATCAACAATTTGCATTTGACCATTGCATTTTATTTGATATCTTACATCAAATAACTTACAAAAGATAGGATATGATTTATTACATAATAATGTTTTCATGAATGATCTATTTTTTAAGATTGATCTATTATTTCATTATCTATGACAAAAATAGATCATTTATTATTTATTTAATTTATAAAAATTGTTCTTTCTATTTGTATTTATCCTTTCTTTTTTTATTATAGTCATTTCTTTTAATATTTAATATTTAAATAGAATATTTAACTTAATTATAAAATATCAATTTTAATTTCTTTTAATTTTCATTACTTCTTATTCACTGTTTATTCTAATACTTTGAATATAATATTTATATTTATTTTGATTTTAGTTATACTTATTAATTTTAGCCATTCATTTCCCTTTTATTTCTTTATTTTTTACTAAACTTAAATTATTTATTCTTATTTTAAATAATATTTATTACAATTCTTTTTTTCGTGTAGAATATATTTTCATCTTTTCTTATGCACACTATTTATTCTTATTATTAAATATTTATTTTGATTATTGTTTTTTCATTATTCTTTATTATTTTATTATTCTTCGTTTTCTTATCAAAACTTATAAACTTCAGTTTTTTAAGAACAAATGTTTATTTCAAAAATAAATATTTTATATATCACAATAAATTTTAATATAACTAAATTTTATTTCATTACATATCTTATAATTCTTTTTAATATGCTTTCATTCGTTAAACTTATTTCAATGAATTTGTAATTATTTTATTATTTTATTAAGTATCATCATTGTTTCAACTATATTTTTAAATTTTGATGAAAACAATTAAATTGAAAATTATTGGAAGAAACAACTTCATTATTATTTCTCTAGTCATTTATTTTTATAGATAACAAAAAATAATACATAATAAAAATAAAAATAAATAAAAATAATTATATAAAACAGTTTATGAACAATCAATAATTTAATAAACAAAATACATGTAAATAAAATAATCAGAAACTGAAAAAGAAATAAATAAAAATGAAAGTATTGGGAAATCATGTATTATTTTTATATTACCTTAATACTAATATTAAATCATAAATGGAGGTTATAATGTAATGACTATTAATAGTATATTAATATTATATAATTATTTTTAATTAATAATGATTTGAGTTATGAATTGAACATTATTATCACTTTCATATCAATGTTATAGTTCAGATTGTTAATTTAATATTTTATTTATGTTTTACTTATGAATCAGAAATTAGAAGAATAAAAAATAAAAAATAAGATAAAATGAGAATAAAAGAGAAAGAAAAGAAAAAGAAGAATATTATATTTACAGAGAAGAACTGAAATACAGATACTCAATGATTATATTTATATTATTTATTGTAATTACAGGTGGAACATATATTATTATTAGTAAAGAAGAAAGAAATAAAGAAGTAATACAAACTCAAATCTATTCAAATAATTATAGTGAAAGAATGTACAATGGATATAAAGTATATTTAAAAGCAGAAGAAGCACCAATACTCACAAAAGAAAAATTAATATCAGAAGTAGAACTCCAAGGAGATGAAACATTAATTTCAAAAGAAAAAGAAAAGCAAGAACCATCACAAACAGGCATAGCAACAAAAGAAATACCAACAACAACACCACAAACACAAAAATCAGAGAAAACAACACTACAAAAAGAAGAAAAACATACATCAGAAAGGGTACGAAAATTAGCAAAGAAAAA